GGATGTCTCAAAAGTGATCACTTTAATAAAAGTTCTTTAATGGATCACAAAAACAAGAGTTTTGTAAGTAGAAACAATCTGAGAGAAATTGGTAAAATTTAGAGTAGAGGCATACCTCGTTTTATTGCGCTTCGCAGATATTGCGTTGTTTACAAATTGAAGGTTTGTGGCAACCCTGCGTCGAGCAAGTCTATCGGCACCATTTTTCCAACAGCATGTGCTCACTTCGTCTCTCTGCGTCACATTTTTTAGCAATAAAGTATTTTTTATTTAAGTGATGTATATTGTTTCTTTTACACATAATGCTATTGCACACTTAATAGACTACAGTATTGTGTAAACGTAACTTTTATATGCACTGGGAAACCAAAAAATTCATGTGACTCACTTTATTGCGGTGGTCTGAAACCAAACCCGCAATATCTCCAAGGTATGCCTGCAGTTTCGTGCTGAATCATATCAACTTATATGAAATTTTTACACATCCATGATATCGATGTCAATGAGGGACATTAAATTGAGAAGCTACACAAAATATATTAAATAAAGAATAAACACATCAAGAAGGTTATGTAGTAAGATGAGCAACCATCATGGAAATGTCAATGGACAATGGTGATGGAAAAGTGTTGGCATAACTGGTGTAACCAACAGTCCAGTGTCAAGTATCAGATAACAGATCAGGATATATTACTGCATAGACAACCACTAAGATTATGCAGCACCTCGAACTCTTTTTTATTTCTGTGTTCTAGTACAAAATGGGAGTTCAGTGGGACCGTACATCAATTATTTATAGATTTCAAAAAAGCCTATGATTCTGTGAAGAGAAAAGTGCTATATAATATTCTTATTGAATTTGGTATACCAAAGAAGCTAGTGAGTTTAATAAAAATGTGCTTGAATGAAACCTGTAGCAAAATTTGAGTAGGTAAATATGTATCTGAGACATTCTTCATCAAGAACGGTCTAAAACAAGGAGATGCTTTGTCTCCCTTGCTCTTTAACTTTGCGCTAGAATATGCTATCAGGAAAGTCCAAGATAGGCAGGAGGGTTTGCAATTGAATGGGACACATCAGCTATTGGCATGATGTTAATTTATTGGGTTACGATATAAATACAATAAAGAGGAATGCACAAGTTTTACTAGAGGCTAGTAGACAGGTGGGATAAGAAGTAAATTCAGGAAAAAACTAAGTGCGTGTTAGTATCTCGTCAGCAGCAGACAGGCGGGCAGAATTATCTTAGGGTGGCTAATTAATCCTTTGAAAGTATTACAAAGTTCAAATATTTGGGAACAACAATAACAAATCAAAATGATACTCATGAGGAAGTTAGGAGGAGACTAAATTCTGGAAATGCTTGCTACTTCTCAGTTCAAAATATTTTGTCTTCCTGTCTGATTTCTAAGAACCTGAAAATTAAAGTATACAAAACAATAATTTTGCCTGTTGTTTTGTATGGGTGCGAAACATGGTTTCTCACTCAGAGGGAGGAACACAGATTGCAGGTGTTTGAGAACAGGGGGTTGAGGAGGATATTTGGGCCTAAGAGGGAAGACGATGGGACATGGAGAAAACTGTTATCAGGGTTATTAATTCAAGAAGAATGATATGGGTGGGGCATGTAGCGCGCATGGATGGGACAAGAGGTGTGCACCGGCTACTGGTTGGGAAACCTGAAGGGAAGAGACCGCTGGGGAGACCTAGACGTAGATGGTAGTTAGTTAGCTAGTTAGTTAGTTCTAATATTCTAATCCAAATTAACTTTTCAAAACCTCTTTCTGCAAAAATACTGACACATAAATAGTTTGTTTCAAAGCAACTCCTATCAAGTGAATATGAAGATCATGACTGACAAATGTTCTTGAGAACAAACAAGTGTGCATGATATAATGGCAGACATCCAGATCAGAATAAATACTGCAGCACAATTAAACACATAGGCTGCCTTGACAATGGACTTGGCAAAACAAAACGTGGTGTCAAGTCCACCATGCTGTTGGACTTAAAGATAACGTGTACCTGAGTCAGATCATTCTGTTCCTGCACAATCTTCTTGGTTTCAACCATGAGCTGCTCCAGTCCACACAGCCGTTCTTCCAAGCCCTTGATCTCCTTCATCTCTATCCGAAATGCATGACTCAGAGTATGCTTCACCTCTGTCTTCAGAGACTCAATTGCCTGGTCATCAAACTATGCAGACAATAAACAGCTCTTTTAAACTAAACCTGAATGGCTTTGATGATGATGTGGCAATGGCATGTTGTCATAAACATTATTAATACTTTTTAGACTGCCTGTATCTGTCAACATGTAGCAAGGGAGGAAGTTTCCTACTCAAACTGACTGATAGATAGAGCTAGTTTTGATTCTTGGGTGTACAGAATGAGTCCACCTGAACAGGAAACTTCTTCTCTGCTATCTGATAACACAGAGCCAGTTTACAAAACATAAAATTAAAAAAAAACTTATGTTGGACAACGTCCAAAAATTAGTAATCATGTTTATCATAACTCTCTTAAACTTTACCAAATACACATCATTTACCGAAGGATACATGCAGTATCAGAAAATTGATGAAATTCATTATCTTCAAGCACATTTCCTAACTTCTAATTATGTGCATTGTAGCACTAAGATTTATCAAATACCAATATTAGAAGGGCACCATTTAATCTTTAGATTGTACTGGAGTGTCAAGTTGTGACATTATTAAATACTAATTATTACTGATGGCTTCACACAACAGACTGGTCATAAATACATGTACAGCACACTTATGTATTTATATATGTCTTGTCTTAATCTATCATAACATGTTTAGAGCTAATTGTCCATCTTCAGACTCAATGACTAGCAATTACTTGGTTATGTCTTCAAATGCTATGATAACACGTGTAATAACATATTACAGCATGAGTAATATGCGTAATTATGCCAAAATTTATTCTGTGTTGAAGACATGAAAATAATGAAGAAAATTCAAATTGGTAGCACTATTTGAACAAAGAATGAAAAGATTTTCTTATATTTACTTGTACTTACATGGATAAGCCTGTTTAAGAAACCAGAAATTTTATCTCATACTTGTGTTTCATATTTTTTTGGCTTAATCTTATATCCTATAGTCAGTCTGACTAACTTTCAAATCCATGGAATGTATACATGTATGTATTACTTTCATAGCTGATTAGAATGTTCTTTAAAGTGAAAGTCCTGCCAACAATTTGCTATAGTACCACCAACATTAACATTCGGCCCATATTACCTGCACATACATGTGTGAAAATGAACACATCGTCTTCTATGGACTTTGCTTGACTGATGTAATGTGAAGAATTCCAGCCAACATCTACATACATGCACTATACTACAGGCTAATTTCAAGCACCATGAGTGGAATAGCCTGCTCATTTATCACAGAATAATTTAACATATTTTGTATGTTATTCAAAATTATGAATAATGTTGAATAAAAACTATGCCAACTTCTGGTGCTGCTCTTTTGACATCAAACTTTGTACTGAACACTAAGCACTTCATTTCACTGTCATAACTGGGATAACTCACACAACACAAAGCACAATAGTAGAATACTTTTAAACTCCCATGCATTAGCCAATCAACACGAAACAATGCAATTAACAAATGTTGCTCTGAAGTCACAATGGATATTAGTCAACAACTGACCCAAACATCATTTAAACATGTGTGTTATAGGAAGAGATCTACGTTCCTCCATCCATGACATGGTATCATGATCTAGAACAATTACACTGCCCCCGTTACACTTTGCTCTTGTCAGGATGCCAAACAGGATAAAGATATATAAATATTACTCCCATTATGTTATTTGTAATCAAGTTACCAGCATCATGTCAAAGAGCAGGATGACCAACTGGCAACAGGCAACACGAAAAGCATCTGAGAGAAACAGTGTACCTGAGTTGCAAAAATCAACAACTGAATTCTGTTCCATGACTAAGCGCATTATCTGAAATTTGGAGGGGTACACTGTCACAGATTTTCAACCACTCAGGAAGAGGCACAAAGGTGGTACCTTTATGAACTGCCAAATATAAAAAGCTTCAGAATCAAAATTGCAAATACAGTTGGTGTGAAAAAATTTGCAACTAATTACAAGTTGCTAGTCATGAAGATGCCAGAAAGAAACCCTCATTTTGTGACATTTTCCTTACATTCACAAATTAATGGCGCAAATGGTTTTTCTTCCTGTCGCTCATTCTCTGAACAGGCTTTACTCATTCTGTTACAGTTCTACTGTAGTTAAAAATGTATAGCGCTGCAATCCAGTCCAATGTGTATTACAAAAGACTGGAAAAATTTGTAATCTTAACTCTCAGCCATCTGCAATACCTGTCACAAACCAATCCTGGTGAAGAACACTATCATGACCATAAAATAAAATCCACTTTCTATTTCAGCACGGAAATCTTTTGCTGGGCACATTGTTGTGATTCAAGTCAAAAATAAAGTTCTACTTGGTTTAGATAAAGAGTGATAGCTCAGATCATTTATACTCTAAAAAATGTCAATGTCTTCTGAAGTAATTTAATGGACAGGTGACCAAATGTAAGCAAGCATGATGCAAATGCTTTACTAATGTGCAAAATTTACCAAATACACCTGCAATTGTGACACATATGGCAAAAAATTTACAAACAGAATTACCAGGATTCATATCACAAATTTTGATTGGTAACACCAAGTTCTGTAATGAAATTACATACCGTTCTCATGTCTTTTACACATGACTGAACAACTTGGTATACGTTGCTCTGGTTGTTGGCACAGACCCACTGCATGAGATTCATCTGCCCATCATTTTGCTGCACCTGAAGACTACAGCCAGCCTCTCGTCCCATAACATCCAACTGCTGGACACCTTCCCTGACACTTCTAAACACCTCCCCTTGCTCCTGCAATGGTGATGTTCTTATAGAATCTGACACCAGTCCCATGGCTAATCCAGTAGCCTCATCCTCTGCAGTTGCCAGGAGTGCAGGGATCACTGGGATCTTCATCAGCAAGTCTATATCATCTTGCAAACTGCAATAAATGCATGGAACTTTAGTTTTTCTTCAGTTCTAAAATACATTATAATTTTATGGCCCAAATAACATAATATAAAATTGAGATTTCATATTCCTACAGTGGTGAGAATGAAAATGGCTGCCTTCTGGGTTGCTGCACAATGTAGTCTGGTAGAAGATTACTGATGTTTAAGACGTGCTTGCTGCTTCCATCATCAAGGGAATAAATGAGTCCTGATGATGGAGGCAGTAAGCTCCTCTAAAATGTCAGTAAACCTCTACCATAATGCACAGAACAACAACCCAGAAGACAGCCACCTTCTTCATACGAAATGTTAACAGTTCATTCTTATTAGCAACAGCATAAGTAAAGTTGTCTGTGTGTAGGGGTTTGCCTAATGATGAGAGCTATTTTTATAAATGGGGCCCCACCAAGCTGTTACCATTCCCTTTTCCTACAATCACAGAACCAGAAACCTCCTCCAAAATGTCATACATCCATTTTGCCCCACATCATGGACAATGTACAAAGACAATCTTAAAAACAAACCACAAATAAGTTTTCCATTCATCACTCAATTTCAGCTTCAATTAACATATAAAGGACATATTCACATTTTTTAACTTTGTAAGCATTTGAATTAATTTAAAACAGTTTAACAAATAATTTTATCATTATTTCTTGACACTGGAGGGTGAAAATACCATTCCCAGTGTAATGACATAATGACAGGGAATTAAACCTGATGATGGCCACACTGGACAAAAACATGCTGTTCTAGCAAATGAACAGTGAAATGAATGATGAACAAGAAAAACCCAAGAATGGAATATAATCTGGAAACACATTTTACAATGAAAAGACCTATGACAACACAGAACTGTTTTATGGAATATGCTAATAAGAAGAGGAAGTTCTTGAAACATATAACTATAGAAATTCAGAGTTTATCAAACAATAAAAATGTTAGTACCTTCAAACAGAAACGGTACACAGAAAAGTGTTACAAACAAGGGTATATGATAAGAATATAGTCTATCACCAGGGCTTTCTAATATATGTATGAATGACATTTTGAGGACATGGAAAATGAAAACTGATTATGGAATAAGAATTATAAAGAATATATTTTAATCCTATTTATTCAAATGCTCAGGTGATCATATAAAACAATAAAAATTATCTTCTGAGATATATTAATGAATTGCATAATTAGCAAATTTTAAAACATTTAAGAAGAAAACTAAGGTTATGACATGCCAGAAAATATCCTGTCTAAACAAACATTATACTAGAAAATACAATTATAGAAGTTTCACATTCAAACTACTTGTGTGTGATGTGTCACATGCATATGATAAAGACATAAATAATAAAATACATAAAAATCAATATATGACATTACTGGAAGGGCTCTCCAACAAAAAGCAATAAGACAAAATTAAGAATTTACAAGGTTTTAGCAGTATCCACATTATTATATGGTAGTGAAATCTGTCGTCTAAGAGAGGCAAAATCAGTATATAAGCTGCTGAGAAGATGCTTCTAAGAAACATTAACAGCTCTACTCATTTGCATAGGATGGGAAATGACATAAGTAGAGATATATGGGCATATCTGCGATCAAGAATAAATCTGAATCACATATAAAAACTGAGTACAACATACTCAGAGAATACCAGAACAGGCCATTAGAAAAATTCTTAATCATCATCTACAACCAAACATTGCAGCCAATAACATTACTGCTTCATGATGAAAGATTCTCGGGTTACAAGCCACATCAGGTGACTGAACAGTGAGTAAATCATTTTGAAACATTGGCAGAAGATATGGTTTACTCACCATTCAGCCACCTAATGCAGCTTGTAACCTGGGAATCTTTCATCAACTTCAGTTGCCGTGAAAGCTTCATTTTATACATTACTGCTTCATATTTGGGAGGTCCCAGATTCAAATCTTAGTCCAGAGACCAGATATCCTGACTGGCATTTTTCAAGGATTTTCCTCAGTCCTCCCAGGTAAATTCTAAGGCAGTACCTTCACTTAGGCCACAACTGCTTCCATCCATATCTCTTCTAAATCATTATTTATTAATCAATCCATCATCTGACACCAGTCAGAGGTACTAACAGCATAACTCAATTAAACACAAATCATCCATAAGGAAGAAGACACTGCTCATCCCCAAAAACAGTGAAGTTGGAACAGGCTCTTAGCCTAACCTTGAGTGGCAGAAGACTAATCCCAAGGAAAACTAAAGTTTGGCAGCAAATGAAACTGCTGAAATTATTGGCATTTTGAGCTCTTTGCAAAGATGGGAAAAAACACACAATTCTGCCATCTCAGATTGATGATAAGACCAAAAACACAAGTTTCTATTGGCTTTGGGCTAACTTGAAGTCTGTAACATATCTCAGCACCAAACATTATTCTACTACATGGTGCAAAACTGTTACCATGACATCAAAAGACTTACTAAATGTCAGACAGGCCATGGAGGCCTGAAATTAGCCTACAGGTGATCAATAACATGCATTGTAACAGTTGCTAGAATCCTTAATTATACCATTTTTTAAATGTTATCCCTTCCTTATACACAAATGCAGAATATATATTAAGGTGTGGCAATGAATGCTCATCACTTTTATATTAAACTTGTGACTTACTTATCCAACAGCTGCACATACTCTGCCTTCATCTCCAGATAATGGCTGAAGCTCTGTTCAAACTGTTCTGCTCGATTTCTGAAAGACTGGGTGGTGTCTTCCATGTTGGCCAAAACTGCTGCCCATCCTACATTATAAAACATTCGGATGTTTATACTTCATAAAAACTGTTCTAAAACCTATCACAAGAGCATGTGACTTACCAGCTATGTGGTTCATATATTATTAACAACATTAAATAAACTTACGAGACTCTGAAGCTGCAAAAACTAACTGTTGGTAGTAATATGCAAACTGTTCAAAATTTTGAGTCAAGTTTAAAAAAAACTCGGCTCAACTAGAATGAATGAAAATGTTCGAAAAATCGAGTTCCGACGCATTTTCTTCGCAATCAATAAAGCAACCACCAACTTTCAGCTCATAGTGTTATCAATAGTGCATAATGAGCATCAATCCCTTACTCTACACATATTTTGATTGAATATATGCGTGTGCGCGGGAGGCGGGACCACCAATAAGGCGGGACTGTTCTGTCTTCGGTGTATCAGCTCATAAAATGCAGTGCGCATCACCGACGGAAGCCAATTTCAGCCGATCTCATGTTTATGGTTTGCCATCTTTAAAATCAAACTCTTTAAGCAAAACAAAAACATATGTTGTCAAAAACAATGAAACACTTTGTATAAATAACACTCCAAACAAGCCTCAAAACTAAACAGGACTACTTATCGCTGCTAACAAGCACTAAAAGTGAGGCATTGCTTGAATTCCACTTATTAGTGAAACACATGTTATATTTTTTTTTTACTGGTTCAGGGTTCATGTAAATGTTCCCTCCTTAAACGTTTTGTGAAGTGCGGGTGCCATTGTTATTAAGGAAGTTGAGAACTGTTACGTCTGTCACTAGCAATTATTATTAGTTCCTTTGCAGTGTAACAAGCTTAGTAATCTGTGAACAACTTCTTTCAATAATATTGTTACCCCATTAATTAATAAAATCAGAAATGTTTAAATATTCAGGGACTGAAAAAACTCAAAAAGGTTCACTTGTGTGGAATTTTTTTACCAACATATCAGCGATGCACAGTGCAAACTTTTGCTCAAAATACCTACTGGAAGCACAACAACATCGACTCAACATTTGGCCAAACATCCGCATCAGACTAGAGAATACTGGAAGCAAAAAGAAATGAATAGCCAGTAGAAGGGAACAACTAAAACTTCTAGACAGTGGCTTTGTGAAAGCAGTGAAAATGAATCCTTCTGAGCTTCGAGCAAAAGCAATTACCTTGGCTACTGGTCAAATGATAGTATTGGATTATCAGCTGTATTCAGTGGTGGAAGAGTCCAAGAGTTGCTGCATACAATGGAACCTAGATATCAAGCACCTTCAAGAACTGTATTCTTAGAAGTGTTATACATGAAATGCATTCCATCTGCAAGTCAGAAATCAAACAAAATTTTCCAAAGACTTAAATTCTGCTTCATCACTATCACTCACTTGAGATATTTGGACATCCCGAGTAGAAGACAGCTAGCCATATCTCTCTTACTTGTCATTATATGTCTTGTGATTTTGTAATGAAATGATACATTCTAGCTAACTCATACTTTCCTGGACATCACACATGATCTGCAGTGCATGAAGAACTGAAAACTTTTAGAGGAATGGAATTTTGAAGCATACACAATACCAATACACATTGTTACTGATAATGCCAGAACATGGTATCAGCATTGTCTGCAACAGAATGGATTTCTACACTGTCTTGCCCACACAATGTAATTGGCTATAAAAAAATTAAATCCGTGGCGTAACAGCCCTCTGAGAGCCAAAGCTGGCTGCTGGCCTCACATTCACATGTCTAAGCAGCGATGAATGATCATCCAACCAGATATAGGGTGACGTGTGGTCAGCATGACGAACCCCCAGCCATTGCTAGCTTTCCTGACCAGATTACGCTACTCATTGTAGCTCCCCAATTTCCTCACGATGCTGGGTTGGCACTGGTCCCATACACTGGTCGAAAGCTCATGAGAAAATTTCTTTTCCCCCAAGAAACTGGCTATAAATGATGCAAAGAAATTGACATCAGACTTCAGTGAACTGTGACAAGAAGGAAGATCAATTCTTGGACATTATCATCATAGAGTGTAAGCACAAGAAAGATTTGGTCCTAGCAAAAGAAGACGGGAAAACCTGAACGCAGTCTCATTCAGGATGTTGATGCTCAATAGAACACAGAGTATCACGTGTTTGGTAGACTTGATGAACAAAGGGACCAGTTTCTGAGTTAGCTGATAGTAGCAAAGTGGAATATTTTATTCAAGCTGAAAGGCAAATGGTAGGTGAAATGGTCAACATTTTACAACCTATCAACCAAGCATGCACAGAATTAAGCCGAAAATCATATCCAACCCTCTCCGTGATAATTTCTCTAATAATCAGCATACAAACACTGCTGGAGAATTATATAAAAACTAAAGGAAAAGGGAGTGGCTTGGCATTTGCAAAACAATTAACAATAGCTTTCAATAGCTTTTTCCCAATAACAGCGAAATTAAACCAAATACTCTAGCAATGTTTATGGATCCTAGATTTAAAGCTATACTGTTGTCAGAAGATGAGGTCAAGTTGGCAATAAATTTAATTAAGAAATAAATCAATGAATATATTCCAGATCCACAGTAACAAGAGAAAGAAGTACAAGAAAGCTCTGAACCATCCAGCTCACTATGGAGTTATTTTGACAAACTTGCTAAAATGAACAAACCTACTGAAAATAAACAGCATGCCAAGGATCCAATCAGCAAATACTTAAGCATGAAGACCCTTGTGTGTGGTAAAAAGATAATCCTTGCAGTACCAATATCTTCAACCTCTGGCTCAACATTATTTACCCATACCAGCCACAACAGATGCTAGTGAGAGACTTTTCTCTTCTGCAGGAGCCACTGTGACCGTATGTAGAGCAAATCTGAACCCGGAACATGTGGAGCAACTGGTGTTTCTTCACCACAACATGAAGTATAGTACCAGTTTTTAAACACGACACTTATGTAGCTAGTTTCTTTAAATGGATCTCTTACCACTAATCTGAATTCTTAACTGTTCCTAAAAAGTTATGCTAATTATCAAATTGTATACATAAATGTGGTTGTGAAAATAAAAGTGATATGCTGTTACAGAGAAAGGTAAGTTTCTTGTTTTTGAAGATTTGTTCTAATAACTTATGTAGGCCTAGTTGGTACCAGAAATGTACCTGCTATGTAGTGTATATCTAGTGAAATGTATTGTTTGGTGTCTAACAAAATGGGCCTAATAAAAGGTGATTTCTTACTTAAACTTCAACTCAACTTTAAAAAAACTGTTCACACATCACTAATTGTTGGTAACAAAACCTGAAGGTTCAACACACCTGATACAAAAACTCTTCATGTCTAATTCCATTCACACCCTCACAACCCACTTCCCTACTTTTCTAGTTTCCAAAATTATTAAGTTTCACAGGGTTTCTACTCCAAAATTCAGCATGGATGTCTTGTTACACATGTTAGAGGTACATGTTCAGCCCAAAATAACTCACTTGACTACCTTAATAATACTAAGTCTCTAAGGCCCATATTTTTTTTTAAGAAACTGTATTTCATACAATTTCAATTTATGTCCTTCCCTCAACGTATGTCCAAAGTTCAACACTACACAAAACATGTAGTTAAATTATTATTAGCCATGTTCCAAGTCCTCCTTTCCCCTACTATGTCAATCTAGGAATGACACAACTGTTACAATTCTTAAGATGTACCTTGTTGCTGGAGATGCTGATCATGGACCAAATTCTCACAGGCCCGAGTCTGTTCACGAGCATGCTCATAAAATTGCTGTGCCAGCTGGACCCTTGCCACAACAGTTGTGTAAGTATCAGGCATGCTGTGGGTGGCATCTACTTGGTCCTTCAGAGCAACATCTGTAACAAGCAAGACAAACTATAAAGAAACACATCTTGCGAAACATAACACTTTGCAGTAACATGTGAAGGGACACACTGTTGTTTAATAAACATCAGTGAATGAATGATAACATTGTTGTTCATAAATTTCACAAAATTTTTGTGTCTAAAAAATTATATTAATCTCATATAACAAAGCTTTTAAAATTATAATTATTCTATAAGGGTGTACGAGGTGCGATCGGAAAGTTTCCAGACTGCGCCTATAAAAACCCGTACACTTATCTCAGGTATTAAATTCATCCATCACCCTCGAAGTAGTTCCCCTGGGAGTGAACACAACAATCCCAGCGCCGCTGCCAAGCCTGGAAGCATCCCTGGAAATCTTTCTTTGTCAGCCTGTCAAGCACCATCTGCGATTCTGCCTGAATCTCTTCTATCGTCTCAAATCTCCTTCCCTTTTGCTGAATCTTCATCTTTGGGAAGAGGAAGAAGTCACACAGAGCTAAATCTTGCAAATAAGGAGGGTGCGGGATGATGGCCATGGTGTTTGTGGCCAAAAACTGCCAAACTTTGAGGGCGGTGTGCGCTGGCGCGTTGTCATGATGCGTCGCATGTGGAGTTCTTCCTTTAGAAACAGCTGACAGGTCCCATAGCCTATCCCAACAATGTCGCACAAGTCGTTGATGGTACGACGACGATCTTCGTAACATTTTCGGGCGTTGTGCTCGAAGATGGTCGGCCAGAACGCTCGTCATCATCGACAGAGGTTCGGCCATTTTTAAAACGTGAATGCCACACAAAAGTTTGCGGACTCCCCAAATGCTTGCTTTAGCATTCCATAGGTTTCCGTAGCCGTTTTGGCAAGTCTTTGGCAAAATTTGATGCACACGCCATTCCGAAATCGCAGGAGGGTCGGTGTAATGCACTACCAAAACGCCCTTAACTAAGAAACAAATGCTAATTCGATGATGCCGGCTGGCACACTGATTCACTATGAATGTAGGCCGCACCCCCTAGCGGCAGAAGCTCGTACTACATCCGGTTCGCCCTCTATTGACACAGTCTTGAAACTTTCCGATCGCACCTCGTATGTGTTCTATAAAGTATGAAGTATTGAGAAAATTTGTGCAAATATAAGGCCCATCACATTTTTTATCTAACAGCAAAATTATATTAATTCTTACTTATCTATTTACGTTATAATTGCATAAGAAAATATTGTAACAAAATATTTTTAAAAGTTCATGTTTTAACCATAGACCTACGCGCAGAATGTTCTATATTTGTTTTATAATTCACACTTTAAATATTAATAGATCATAAACCACACACAGATCAATATAAACCTTAAGTGCCACCTGAATATGACCTACATTAAACCAAAACACCTAGTTGTACTGTGAAAAAGCATAAGACATAAAAATAAAAGCTGTATAGATAGATATTATTTGTATCAGAATTCCGTGTCATCGGACATCAGAAATAAGTGATGTTGGGTCCAGACAGTGACAGAGACTTTCACTGGAGATCAATTTTGGGTTTACTAACTGATTTGATGATCACTACATTACAATATTGGAACTGGAGAGATATCCTGTGCAATAAGAGATGATGATACAAGCTTGTGGGGAATTCATGGTAACTATCAAAGACTCGCCTTTCTCTTGTATCAGAACTGGATTTTGTCAACACTTTTAACAACTCCCTCGAAAGCTGAACATCACATACTATTACAAGTTATAAAACATGAAATAGAATTTCCCTCTGCAGCCTGTTTTACAGTAATGTTTCTGTATCTGTACCAGAACTGAGTGTGTACTGGAGATAAGACGAATTAATGTATACAGTTATGTACTTGGATGTTTTTAAAAATGAATGTGATGCCCAGACCTGAACATATTCAAATGTTATCTCATTCACATTCATGTAGACAGTCACAAAATGACATCATGTTCAGTAATTTGCACAAAGGAAGATTCTAGACTACAAAGAAAAGTAGCTGCAACACGTACATTTACAGGAGACTTGTAACTAGCCACCTATGTGGTGCAGTCATTCTTGTAATGTTAACAGCTAACCTGCTGGTCAAGAAACACACTTTTATGGAACATGAAGGTTCATTATCATGTTCTCAAAAGACTCCCGCCTGAACCTATCATCAGCCAGATGAATCCAGTCCACAGTCTAACCTAACCAAATCTAAACTATATCTCTAAGATCCATTGTAATATTAGCCTTCCACCTATGCACATTTCTGAAATAGTCTCTTCTCTAGAGGTTGTGAATCAAATGTACAAATTCCTCATTTCCTCAGGCATGTGACATGCCCCACCCACTGCAACCCCCTAAATCCCCCTCATCTTATTAAGTTAATAAAAAATACAAATTGTGAAGCTCTTTGTTATATAAATTTCTCCATCTTTATATTGTTTCTCTTTCTTAGATCCAAATATTCCTCTCAGGTGCTGCTTAAGTATGCTAAAGAATCTGTCCAAATCCAATATCTTGTATGACATCAATAATGTTCCTAAAAGATTATAGAGGTAGTTTTAGAAGGGCCAAGAAATACATCAAAAGTTGCAATAGATCACTGATTTACATCTTAAAATAAAATATTACACAATACCTGGAACAAAGTCCATGCTGACAGAAGGTGGAGTCAGGCCTTCTATAGTACTTTTGCTGAATAGGTAGATGGGGTTGGTGTCAGTCCCAGCGGAGTAGCTGCACACACGAGCTGTTGGATCCAAACTCTCCCCACCACTTACTAAGAGCACCTGCTTGTCAGCGGGGATGCCACAGCTTCTCTCAATCACATCACTCAGCTGTTTGACACTGGAATTGCACATTTATTAAAGTAAAATACAGCAGTTTAGATGAATTTATACAGGCACAATAAGAAGCAACACTTCATCAGGTATAAATTCAGTGTCACTGTTTAAATGTACTAGCTTCTAACCCTAACAGATCAGTTATTTCAAAACCTTTAAGCGCAGTGGAACTTACTAGGAAGCCACAGAGGACCACCAATGGACCCTGCGTGTCCTACTTCAGGAAACAACCTGCAGGTGTTCAAATTCCAATTCAAAAAACCAACAGAAACTACAATGTAAGTAAAGGTAAAGTTTGTCCCACTATACGCCATGTAGGCGTTTGGGGTGAGTGGAGGCATAGCTCCTCTCTTCCTTGACCTCGGCACTACATGGGGTGAGTGGTCAGCATCACGCCCCGGCCGGCTTTACCCCCGGGAAAGAACCCCGGTACCCATTGTAGAGGAGGCTGGGTGGACCCCAGAACCGGTCTGGACGCAGAGGCTAGAGGAAAAATCCTCTGGCCCCGTCGGGGATCGAACCCCGGCCGTCCAGCCCGCAGCTAGTCACTAAACTGACTGAGCTATCCCGGCTCATAACAGAAACTACAATGTTCATAGAATAAATCAAATGCAAGAATAAACTGATTACATATTTCATTTGTTTTATAAAAAAATATTACACAGTAAAATTCTTGTGCTAAAAGACTCTAATATTTTTAATGCATTAAAGAAGTCACACAAAACCAAGTTTTACATTTTTGGCCATAATTTTTATGATCTTTTCAAAATATTGCTTATGTTAGCTTTGCTTGCTTTGAAACAGCCAGTAAAATATTATTATCCAAATGCATGTATAAGTCTGGTCTAATGTTTGATGAACTTCAGCTTGCAGAGGTATGACAACCCAAACAATTACATTATTTGAGCTTAAGACCATAATGAAATTGTTTCTCTGGAAGAATACAGCAGACACTCCTTGTTTATGGGTCTGCACAACAAGGTCTTGCATATTCATGGATAAACTACTGTGGTGATATTTTTTGCATCACAGCATAGGTCCCTTGCTTTTTGCCAGTTACTCTTTCACAGAGTAATGCTTAACAGCCTGCATTTGCCTGCCTATCTCAGTAGCTACACAGACATTATGCCACACCAGGTGTACTTCAACTGTACCTTTTACAATTTTTAAAACTGGTTGTTACCTGTACATTTGATCACACTGACAATTTCACTATGTTCTATGGTATTAGGCACAGCAAACTTAATTACTTATTCCATGTTATTTGGTGCTCCTTCAACAGCTGAAACATATTCAAATCCTGGAATACAAGACAAAACTCACCACTCCAAGGCCAGGTTCATTTCATAAATCATCATCTTGCCTGTGTCCACATGGAATATGTACAACATTCTGCCCACTCTTGCTTCACTCCCAAAGGAGGACCTGCTATGAGCTAGGATCCTGCTTGTTGTACTTCATATGCAGTGTTCACCTCTGTCTGCAGTGTGAAGGGGTGTGCCTGTAACAGCCACATTCATTACTAAAAAAATAAATTGCAACTGTGTGCGTTATTTCCGTCCATCTCAAGCCAAGAGCAGAAAGGTGTATTCCAATGGAGTACATGTCTTACACACACATTCTTTGCTATTTTGTATACCTCATTGACCTTGAGGCTCATTTATGCAGATACAAAGCTACTGTTGCATTCCACTACATTTTTCAAACTTTGTATTTTCTATAAATACAGCATATGAACACATGTCTTAAATAAGACTTCTAGGGTGTAAAGAGATCAATATTTGATGACATAGGATAATTATTTTATAATATACCACTTTTTAGAAATTTAGTGAAGTTCAATTTGAGCTTCATCTAAAGCAGGGGTTATCATTGCCAATGGCATCACAAAATTAAGTAAGCCTAACAACCCTTAGCATAGACCACCAATACCAAATTTCATAAAAATCTGTCAAGTAGTTTTGTAGATAAAACAGGCAAACATACATGCAACCCCACATTTTTTCTATCCGTTTCAAAAACGTTTGCCTTGTAGACAGCTGTCTTCTTGGTTGTTAGAGCATGTATTCTGAAAGTTTATAGACATTTCAGAGAAGCTTGCTGACTCCACATCAAGGCACTCATTGCCCTAATGATGGGCAACACAATAGCCTGACAAGAGTTAACATTCTGAAACAGCAAACATGCTACATTGCACTGACCAGGCCATGCCAAGCACACCCATCTACTGCTCTAGGGGGCTCAGCTAGCAAGTAATTTGGTTCAAGCAGTATGTACACATGAGAAGAATATAACTAAATCTGAGACTGACTTCAAAAATATTTCTTTAATTGGGCAAAACCACATTCAGCATACTCAAAAACAGTGTTAAGGGGATGTAGTCTGCAGTATCATCAGATAATATGCCCATAGCTTTGTAAGTTATTTACAAATACCATATTGACTTTAAGATTATTAATAAGTAATGATTATACAGTAAATCAGATAAAACTGGAGACAAACAACTGTCAAGTATTCCAAAGTAACTTATTCTGGCATTTATGCAAAGGATAGACATGCATTTCTGCTGAGTTAACTTGCTCACCATTATTGAATGTTTGCATTGCTTGTTTACTTAATATTTGTTACCACCAGCAGTGATCACTATCACAACTAGGAACTCTAAAACATTTTACATCAAGCATAATTATTGTTGACACTACAACCCAGAAGACAACAATCATATTTTACTGTTGCCTTCTATCACAATATGTGATCAGTCTGGCCGTGTCTGCTCTGCTGATCAGAAGTCAAAGCGCATTTGGGTTTTGTGATGTGAGAACATTATACTCTTGATGATTAGATTTGTTTAGTGAAGTTTATTGCCCAGAACCCAATATCAATACAAGCTTCATTTTAACTTTCATTCTAAACTGTACTTTTGAAAACAACTCCCCCCCCCCCCATACATTTGTATTACAATCTGCTAACAAATTTTCAAGTTGTAATTGGGAACTGATTAAATCTATGATCTAGTTTATCATAAATGAACAACTGTCTGCTAGTGCAGTACTACCCATATCCCATCTGACCTAGATGTCCAGTAATTGTAATTTATACTTCTTGTGCTACTGTTTTCAGTAAACATTTCCTATGGACTCGTCATTCCAAATTCCAAAAGTCATATTCATTTTCCATTGTTTATATTACTCCAAAGAATCTGTTCACAACCAAGGCCCAGTTGAATATTTCATAACATCCAAAAATGAATGATAATAGCCACTTAATCATTCCAGCATTTCACAGCTCCATATAATTTAAAGCCAGAAATTATTATTTTCTACACATTTACAGCCAACATTTTTGGAGCTAAGTTTATGGAAATACAGACAGCATTACAAATCTAATTACCTGGTAATTAGAACAGCTGATGCAACTTTTTACACAAACTGTAAAATGCCAAAATTATTACAGAACACACTTATTCTTGTCTCACTTAACAATGCTGTTTCAACTACAGAGACGTTAAATGAGAAGGAAATAAAATCTTCATTGGTTAGTACGTGAAAAACCTGGCCTGGCCTATTTGAAGATAACTACCCTGGCATTTGCCTGGAGTAACTGAGAAAGAACCAGAGAAAACTCCAGTCAAGATTGCCAGTAACCTGGTCAAGATTCAAACTGGGTACCTTAAACATACAAAATTACAATTTTACAGCTATTCCAACCTACTTGGTGTTAACTCATTAATGAGGAATGACTGCAATGTAAACAAACATTTCTTCCAGGATCCACTGTATTCTTGCCCTAAGCCACGACATTTAACAATGACCACAACTGCTTTCATTTTTTGTAAATATATTAATAATATCACAAAAATCTGTTTACTATTAAAGTCTTTATACTAACAGCTATTAAAATCATTCAAACTTCTGCAATATTTGATACTTTGTATCATTACTGTCCAACTAGTCAAAAGCATAGGTTATTCTATTTCAGAGTTTGGAAAACTTCCAATTGGGTCAAACTAATTTTGCTAGATACTGGAACTTCCGTAAACAGTCTGATACCATGCTCTTTAACCCTTTCAGTATTACTGAAGAAGAAATGTTAGTAGCCATGTTAGTAAATATTAACACTGTATAAATTTGAACATAAATATAATATGTGCTTCTTTTCCATGATACAGAAATCACCATCAATGGGAGTTTCTACCTTTCCAAAATATCTTCCTGATTTCAAGGAATAAACATAAAAGTTTAGTGGAAATCAGAACATCTGTTCTCAAGCTAAAAGCAAACATAGACACAAACATAACCACATTTTCAGATTCATATTTAAGATTATTCTCCCACATGTGTTTAGGTTAACTAGTAGTGTCTTCCTTTGAGATTTTCCAAACAAAATTTGTTGTTTCTCATCTCTCCATATACATGTCCTGCCAACCTCACCCTACAACTCCCTGTTTAATCATTCTAACATGATGCAAAGTATAAAAATTAGGTTTTCTTAATAATACATCAATGCCTCAATGGTTTTATGTAATTACACAATTAAAACAAAAAAGTGGAACAGTTTTCATGATATCAGTTCCCAACTTCCCCTTGTGAACAAAGACAGAAACATGTAGATGATGACAGGTCAGCTTCTCATTTAATCAACAGTAATAATAGTAGTTTATTTTACACAGATTACACAAATTTTTCAGAATGTTACAATGAAAATTACTAGTCTCAAAAATTTCAAGCTGCCATGTTAGTTAGAAGGAACAGATTTAAAAAGGTGCCAAGATGACCTCAGACAAGGTCTTCATTAAGTTCCTTAAAACAACTAAGTGGTTAAGAGCTATTACAGGGAACAGACAGCGTCCACCAGCCTTTTAAGCAGTTTTCCAAATATGTCTAATTGATGGAAAAAAGTCAACTTGACATGAAAATTGTGCAATTTGGAATGTGCACATAAAATATGCATATGCATATGCAAAACAGCAGTATCTAATGATTTTACTATTTGCTATGTAACAAAACCAAATGTTCCAGCCAAGGGATTTATACATCACATTCAGGTTCAAATACTGGTCTGGTGACCCTCTATGTATATAATCGATGTTTGACATTTCTAAGACCAAAACACAACATTAACCAGCTGATCTTTGTAATGGAAAAATGTTGCATTTCTTTGAACTATACTACCAACTCTGAAATATTATTTAGCCATACTTCAGTTTAACAGGAAGTGTTCAACACACATGAAAAATTTGGGATTCATCTTACTTGTACATATACACCACCTATAAGTACTGATGGCATTCTCTTCTATTTTCTGTGGTCATTCCTTGGACTTCTTTGATGCCATGTTTGTTTACTTACTTGTCATGCCTGCATTTGTGATCTATTTAATGATGTCAATAGCCTGGACTATACAGGATTAGATGATAAATAAACAATGAATTAGAAGTAGTCATGGCCTAACTTAAGGTACTATTCAAGCATTTTCCTGGAAGGACTAAGGAATTCCACAAAAAGTCACTTCAATGTGAGATCTAAACCCAGAACCTCCCAAATAGAAATCACGAATGCTAACGACTCAACCAAGACACTCAGTAAGACAAGTACACAAGAACTTTTTCAGAAACTTTCCAACTGTAGCTTGTAGCACAAAGTTACCTACTCTGGATGCATACTCACATCAGTAAATTATATTACACTTGTTCATGTGAGGCTGAAGTATCATAGTTAAGCACATTACAAAACATGATATAAAGCTAATATGCAGAAACAATGAAAAATACAGGACAAATAATGGATGGGGTAATTTAAGAAGTCCTGATGACAGTTTGATTACATCTTAGTACTCCATGCACAAAATTTTTAGACAATGTTAATTCCACATATCATTTAATTATTTATTTCAAAATTAAACTGCAATCACTTCACCCACAATAATATTATGAGTAACATCCACAAATTAAAACAAATTTTGTTCCAAACTATAAGTGCAGAACTAATATGTGGTATTTTCTGGCTAGCACCCGAAATTCCTAACATAAAATTATCAATATCAGTAAATTACCAAACAAATTCTGTAGGATCTCATAAATTCAAAATGGTCCAGCCTAACAACACAATCCCACAAAACACCAGGTTAGGTTATATCGTTTTCACATCATACAGTTAAAAGCAATTTCATTGTATTTCCACGCTTACATTCGTTTTCTACGTCTCATCAAAGCAATCTGTGAGTTCTCATGTCACTTTCAAGCACTCCTTCGGACAATAACGAGTAAAACAAATTCGTGCATTCTAATAAACAATGTCATTTCTGTTCCTATTCTCAGTGTCATGTGAAGGGAAAAGAGTAGAATGAAGGAACTATATTCCCTGATATTATACTTACGTGCTGCATGTTCACGCTGTATGTTCCACTTACCGTTCAAAGCACAAAACAAATAACATTTCTCGTTATGACTCAATCTTGCGTTAGCAACAAAGAAATCAAAGTCCCTGACGATTTCTTTAAATATTTAATAAAACTAACATTGTAACTAATCTATTGGACATAAAAGTCACATATAGCAAATATCATAAAATTTCAAATATAGGGCCACCTATCCTGAATAATACTACCAAAACTTTACCTATGACATTTATTGCTCAGTTTGGCCCCACGATAAAACAAAACAAGACACTGTCGAACAAAGAACAAGGCTGTAACTTTCTGCATATCACGGCAGTAATCATTTGAACAAAATATTATAGTTTTCAGTTTTCATGTATTCACTTATGGCTGTAAAAATAAAATGAAACATTGGTAAATCGACGTTAACATACCCTTTCCCAATGTTTTTAGCAGACGTCCTTCCATTTTACAAGCTGCCATTAGTGGCATAACCACAGCTGTTTACCGCTCGGAATGACGGGAACTCTTAGAATCATACGAATATATTACACTACGGTAAACCAACGGATCAGAACTTTTAGATTTATAGTTCAGAGTAAGAATATAGTTTGACTGTGTAATAAATATAAAATAATTCATTCTAAATATATATTCCTCTCGATGTAGACCCTCTGCTCAGTTTTTCTTAAATATTCAACAACTAGAGAAACATATTAAACGCATTTATGAAGTGCAGTGTCTTCATATTAAGTCAAACCGGAAACAGCTGAAGGCCTTCACTCCCGCGAATCCTGTGATCATATCCCAAATTTGTGAGCATTGACACAAGGTCATCATAGTTCGACACGTGACAAGAATGGTGTAAATAAGGAGTAATTCTGATGCACAGCTGATGTTTGCTGTGTAGGACAGCAGTGCTCCCCGCAAGAAAGTACTTCAACTATGCCAGTTTATGATCATCTTACTGCGCCTGTGCAACAAGCTACCACCCCACCAAATCTTTACGTTTTTTGTTCATTTAAGCGTATGTAACATTTTTAATATTGCATCAAATTCTATAATTTTATTATGTTAACACAATCACGAATTAGTGATTACATGACTAGTCACAATTTGAAAATCTTATACATAATGACAGAATAAAGTATTCCTCCACGTTCTGCATTCTCAGCAAAAACAGGCTTACCACTATATAAGAGTACTGCGTACGATGTCACCACCTATAAAGCAACAAATCATTCGGGTTATGACCAAGAATAGCACTGCTGTATCGCAAAAAAACAGATGCAGGGTTTTGCAGTATAACTGCTGAAAAAGTTGGAGAATTTGAAAGACTGTTGCGCTAAAAAGGACATTTCCCAAAATTGTGTCCATTAGAACAAAATACAATAGTGATATAATTACATTTTAAAATGCGCTATACAAAAACTTGATTATAAAGGCGCGCACTGACATGCCAAAGGTGTTTATCACATCAGGTAGGTTGCTGGTTCCTACTCCAAGAAACCCAACAGTTAAAAAATCAGCCTAACCACGCCCAGATATGTCCGGAAGAAAATGTGTACTGATATTCAAACGGGTAGAGCAACCTAACGAATACTCTCCCGGGCAGGTGTAGACGAATACACCAAAGCCAACCAGACACCGAATCTGACTACGACGTCGAAATCATCTTGAAAACTGAATTCAATATTGACACGTGAGACTTAAAGGCAAATGTGTCCCTGTGCTTAATTAAGCTCCACCCCATTCCTGAACACAACGCCATTAAGATGTATGGATGGCGAGGTGAAGTATGGTTGCGCACATTTGTTAGCTTGACGCTAGATAGGGTGGATGGTTAGTTTAACGTCCCGGACACTTTATCTCTGGCAAAGCAGCCCTCCGCACCGGTTAGATATTACCTTTGCTGAGACATGCGCGTGAGGGAGGGTAAGGACGCTGTATGCTAACGGTAGTGGGGCACGTAGGGGAACAGCTTTCTCTGTATGTATGTGTAAAAATGGGCCAATGTTATTGAAATGGAATTCAACGCACGAAGTAAACTCGGTCATAGCTCGCTTATAACTGAGCTCCTCTTATACCCCACCCACTGTTCGAGATGAAGATACACTGCACATCTCTCAGCAAACGTGTAATACGAGGTTTGTTGGGCCTCAGAGCTGTGCTGGACACAAATAAAAATCCCTGCCCTTGTCAGGGATCACATCGCAGTCTAGTTAAGCAGTTCTTAGCGCGCGTGCATAAGTCCTCTTTTTCGGTACGCCAAGACTACATGTTATACGAAATCAGGGGAGACGCTGGTAAACCTGGAGAGAGGGGTACTCAGAGTATACAGAGAGGAAAGGGGCTGTGGGGAACGACAGCAAAATCAAAGCCAAGGCACAGTAAAAGCGGAAGTTTTTCCTTTGCGACTCCTATACACCATAACATGGAAGAGTTATGTAAGATTTGAGGTTTTCACAGCGGTGAGTATGATGATTTCTGTCTTCATGGAAGAGTTAGTAATTCACCATCAGAAAAACTCGAACAAATTCTGAGCAGCCAGTAAATATCCACATGCAACACACACTAATAAAACACATGCATTGCAGCGATGGTAGTGTGATAATCTCAGCATGACAGTCTAAACGCGTAGAAAATGCTAATTAAATGCTTCGTGCGCAGGAAATAACAGCAACATTGCGTCACAGATAACACGTGAAGGACATTTTTGCCGAACATAAAATGCGAAATATCAATCTCAGGCATATCTCTGTAGACAAGAAAGTGACTTTCGGTTTTGCGACGCTTTTATAAAATATTTTTGCCATAATATGCTGTTTATACAAGCAGATATTTTCAATTCTTGTTCTTTTAGCCCACCTATTGAACCATAAACGAAATAATTAAATCAAAGCAGAACCGTTATGGAAATATAAAGTATAGCAGATACTGAAGATAACCAAAAAAATGTTGTCTCAAGAGACAGACTATAAATGGTACGTCCCGAATGCACATCGAGGGTTCTAAAACTATATTATTATGCTCGGTACAATCAGGGCAAAAAATATCTGGTACCTATAAAGCACTGGGCGGTCTGAACTTATCAGGCAACACAGAAACACCTTCCCCATGCCAGAAATCAAACTTTGGTCCTTTAGTCTTGTAAAGTTATATGGAAGGTAGATGAATATGACTGTACTCTCGATTGATGCACCGCGTAGTTTGGTTTGCCCTGACTGCATGATGCAATAACCCAGCAGTCATTATCATACTCGCCGCCGTGAGAACTTGATATCTCACCTTCTTAAACGTTGTTTAGTTCGTCGTTGGTACCTTGAAATGAGCTACGACCTCTTCTTCCTGTCCTTATCCTCTGCGGTACACTCCACTTTTTCTGAGAATATATCCCTGTGAAAAAGGGGAGAGCATTATCTTATTCCTCAACATCAAAATTCCGCCTTAATATATCCCCCCATGTTAACACCAAATTTCACGACATGCCGCCCTCCGGAGGCAAATAAAAATTTCAAGTTCTGATTGAATGCAGTATGCTCCCTGATCAACTTCGACCTTCATTTACCAGGACGAACGGACACGGTCTGGAAACCTTTATTGTCATAAATTTACGTCTGTTCCAGACCCACCTTCAACTTAGCATCACTCACTGCTCCACACTTTATCTTCTGTATTCTCACTCATTTATTCATTCTGCTTCAAAAAGTTAACCCACTTAATGCGTGGTCAATATTCTTCTGTGGCTATCAGCTGTGTAATTAGGGCGTTATACCCAGCGTTTCGGAGATTGTCTCTATCTATATCATAAGGTTAATCCCCCGAGAAAACTTCACTGCATTCAGTAGCCATGAAAGCTTCAAATATTATCGAATCTCTGGACTTAGTACAGCGATATTAAATAAATTAACCATTACTTATAAACCTATCTAAAACATCAACAAATCTACCGATGCACTGATTTTACTATCCATCAAAGCGAGCAACCAAATAATTAGTATCACCGACATCATTATTTCAGAATATTTGATGACAGTGTATGAGACTCTGGGTTTTCTCTTGTGATCTTCCGGTAAGGGACTGCGTGTGGTTACTGAAGGAGGTTACCAAAGTTTCGAAGAAAAGTATGGCCTCCATCTACAGATCCACACTGAAGGTCACAGAATGTCCTTCCGCACTCAAATAATTGGTTACACTTGTATGTAAAACCTGTGAATCTACAGTGTTCAAAATATTATCAGTTTCTTAGCTGCATATAATATTTCAGGTGAAAATTCAATTAATACTAACCATAATAAATAAACCACAAGTTGCTTTCAGCTTCATATCTTACCTGGACACCAAGAACTGCTGAAATGCTTCCGTCCTCGAAGGGACAGGCTGCCCTATTAGTAATCTCTACCTGAAGACGAGAAATAAATGGGTTGCCCGCTCTTTGCTTGGAAATTCTTGCAACGAAAGGGACAAATAACGGACCGAACTTTTGGCTACAAAGCCTAGTTTACACGGAGACACCAGATTTCGCAGTTTCATAAACTTAGGTTTCGAGAAACTAAACAAACACATGGTGGCATTAGTGTACGTAGCAGTTTCCAGACATTTGTAAAATTTAATCACGAGTGTGACTTTAAGAATGGATTTTCAAGTTGTGGCAGTCGCAAGTGATGGATGTCATCATTTTGTGCCTGAAAACTGAACATAATAGGAAGAAACATATTGGGACCCGGGAATAAACAAAGAGAAAGTCGCATTGGAGCGTGGAACCTTGTTGAAAGGAACTGTTTCAGGAGACTCCAAAATATACTTTCATTAGTTTTTAATTCGTCGATACTAAATCCATGAATATTTATTTTACTGTAAATTGTTGCTAGTGCAGCAAAGCGTTTTGTTGTGGTTTTAAAGTTCTTGTCGTAGTCACACAACTACTGTTGCTGGCGTAAATATTCAGAAATCCAACAATTTCTTCATTTCCCCGCTTCATAACAACAGCTTTCATGGCTTCAAAGAGAACAAAATAATTATAACACATTGACCACTTGGCCTTAACCTCAAAATAACATTAACCTATGGGTTTCGTGTTACAAAAGCTGGAAGCAACGGAAAGTGAGTAGTTCCGTTATGCAGTCAGACAGGGGCAGAATGCAGTAGTCGGTGGCAAACATCCTGTTACAATACGCGCCCTGTATCCGATGAACTACGTAGGAAACATTTTCACTTGGCGTTACTGCCGGGTATATAAACTGCTGTACATCAACTGTAGTACAAAAGATGTAATACAAGTGTAACAGAAAAATCAATTTTTTCGGCGTGGAAGCTGGGAAAAGTACATTTCAGAACAAATGTGAATTACGGGATTCGAACTCTGAAGTTGCATCCCTGCAGCATATAAAGAAACAATATGGTCCATACATTTTATCTCCCCAGATAGGAGAGGGGATGTAGCCCTAAGGGATACACTACTCATTACGCCGATATTCTGAAAATAATATATTCGGTCATACTATAAAACTAGAAATTCTAGCTTTGTAGGGACATAGAACATGGGGCCGTATACTGAACAAAGTATTGTGTGGTCAAGATACTTCTCATCACCGATTAAAATCATTTTACAATGTCTCTTTTCAGATCTAAAGAGAATTATACAGTTGCAGCCTACATCCATTGTCTTGACAAAACATTTTTAAAAAATATCAGTATTAATTAATATGATTTTAACGAGTACTTTTATTACTACTTATATTTAGTAACATTCTTTGGGAGGAAGGGCTGCAAAATAACGCAGAGAACATTGCGAACGACGTCTGTAATCTGACGAGGGCGCATTACAATATAGATTATTGAATTTCTGGACTTTATCCTTCGCTTACTATTTTAAAAACACAATGTTACGAAAACAGGGACTATTTTCGTCCTTATGTTCAGGGAAGAGGGGCACCTACTCATTTGGGTTCTGGTAAATGATACCAGTGACTGAGGTTAGCTCTATACAAGACAGGTCTAAATATCTGGTCGAAGAATATAAAGAAGAATTACAATATTATATTACAAATGTCCTATATTTTCATTTAATTCTTCACAGTCAAGAACTTATCAGAAGCTCCTAAACCGCGTTTCCATGCCTACTCTTTACATTTGTGCATCTTAATTCAGTTTAAAATATACACAATTCCTTTAGATTAGACATCTACATCCTCTTAATTTGCCAGAGCTGGACACGGCTGCTCAAAACAAAATAACAACTGTAGTTAGTCACTTATACAAATTTAATTTCTACATAATTACATTTATATAAACTTATAACCAAGTAACCAAAGTGTCTCTTTCATCATCCAAGCAAGGTTCATATACAGCCAAAGACACAAATTCAAACACAACAAACTATCGTAACTGAAAGAAAGCTTTTTTCTTAACGAAACACAAAATTTAAGTGTCTAATATTATTTGCGACGGACTATATTACTGAATATTATCATTTTTGTGTCCTTGACTGTACTGTAACATTACCCACATTTCTCATCAAAGAAACATACACACAAAAGCGGTTCATGCACGTAATAAAATCATGTTGTTTTGGGTTAAGTGGTACACAACGACGTTTCGCCTTTTTACAGATTCGTAATAACTTTTAAACGCTAGAATGCTAAA